TTTCAACTGAGCATTCAGGTATTTCGGTGATGCATATCCCACCATATGCCAGCTGACAATTCAAGAAGGATGAGCACTTAACACCTGATGAGAATGAGCTATTTCGGAGTGGCTCAGCTGGAACAGAATTTAGAATATGCTATTAGTAGTGAAATTAATTGTTCCTTCACTTTGTCAGCGGGACAAATCCTTCACTGCACAATAAAATAGAATTCTTTCCCAATACTGCAGTTATACATCTATAGGATGAGGCTTTTAAAAATGTAAAGGCCGCATATTGTTTCAGAGCGGCAAAACATCCAATTCAATTTCTGAAATAATCAAAGGTGTCTTTTCTTTTTCTTTTTCCTTTGTGCTCAAATATGGAGAAAAAATGTGAATGAAGAGGAGGATTTAACATATTTTTTAAAAGTTATACTATTTCATTACTTACAGAGCTTACACATGAGACTGACAGTGAAGGAGCATTTTACTCTGGGCATTTATCTACCCATATCCTGATACAACCCAGGATGCAGCAACAAGAGTATCAATTGGAATCTTTCCAGAAAGAACAATTAGCAGCTCAAGGAGCAGCATAGCATTCCCAACAACTTGCAGACTCAAGTCCATATTTTGCAACCATAGGAGCCAACGCCAAGGGACCAAGGTCCCTTTTCCCCCTCTAAAATATTTGAGGGAGCCAGCCCCTTTCCCAGTTTGTGGACCTTGCCATTCAAATGGTCTGCATGTGCCATGTCATGTGACTGATTCTGCGGGGCAGAGTTTACCTTGGCCCCTGTAATATTTTATTCAAGTTGGCACCCCTGTTTGCAACTGAACCCATCACCTTACCAACAAAGGCCCGTATAGTTAAAGCTATGGTTTCCCCAGTAGTGATGTATGGAAGTGAGAGCTGGACCATAAAGAAGGCTGATCGCCGAAGAATAGATGCTTTTGAATTATGGTGCTGGAGGAGACTCCCATGGACTGCAAGAAGATCAAACCGATCCATTCTGAAGGAAATCAGCCCTGAGTGCTCACTGGAAGGACAGATCCTGAAGCTGAGGCTCCAATACTTCGGCCACCTCATGAGAAGAGAAGACTGCCTGGAAAAGACCCTGATGTTGGGAAAGAGTGAGGCCACAAGGAGAAGGGGACGACAGAGGACGAGATGGTTGGACAGTGTTCTCGAAGCTACCAGCATGAGTTTGACCAAACTGTGGGAGGCAGTGGAAGACAGGAGTGCCTGGTGTGCTCTGGTCATGGGGTCACAAAGAGTCGGACATGACTAAACAACAAAACAACAACAGTTCTCTGATTCCTGACTATTCTGCACTGTTGACAAAGCTCCAAGTAGAATGTTGCTTATGATATAGCCGTGTGGTTCAAAAGAAACAGCTTTCAAATAGCTGAATCTGCAGAGCCAAATCATTTGGAACTCCCTGCATGCCCATTTCCCAAACTGAAAGAAACACACACAGGTTAATTTTCTGCAGTTATCTGGAGAAATTATAGGCTTGCAAGTAGATGGTAGCCTCCCAGTTGGGTTATGTGGGAGCTTATAATCTAGGCTTGATGCTATTTGCATGTAACAATTCTTCCAATATCGATGAAAGCACAGCACCTGCAGAGAAATATTTTTTTTAAAGATTGGATGAGATGACTTTATACAAATTTCCACAGTATATAAAAAAGTTGCCTTTCAGCTGCCAAGTTTTTCAGAATGTGTGTCTTAGAACAAAATGATTGATGCTTGCAGAAATGGATCTTAGCTAGAGGTTTGATGAATGCTCCCTGAATCATAAGCTCTTCTTACTTTCTTTTTAGCACTATCAAAACTGCAAAATGTATTCCCTAGAGGCAGAAGCAATGCACTGGTGTCAGGGAGCATCCAAAATAAGCCAGAAGCTATGCTAGTGCATTATTTAAATATGATGAGCACTCACACTTTACATTGTGGGTTCCCTCTGCAGGATCGCATGTGGTGCTACAGTTCCCAGGGAACTTACTGGCAAACAGGGACTGGCCTGCCTCTCAGTGTTATTATTTGGAGGTTCACGCCCAGCCTCAGAAGTCAAGTTTCATTGCTGGGAGGTGGGGCCAGTCCCATTTATATATAGGGGGTGGAGCCGACAGTAGCCAGACAGTCGACTCAGGAGATTCACCTTCCCTCCCCTCCCTTAGTTTAATGTTTTCTGGTTTGCAGGTTAACCTTTTCTTCCTTTTTAGCGGGTGCTGCTGCGGTCTTTGACTGGTTACTGTTGAAGGACCGGGAGGAAATTTTCCTGCATTGGCAGGTTTTGTCTTCCCCGTAGCAATTCGTCACAACTTTGGCAGTTTATGGCCTTGGGTGGAATCCTTTAATCTTTTCTACCCTATAATGGGGGGGGGGGAGGCGTGAAGTGGTGATTCACCCCCCTGCGGCGTGGATTCCAGGGTCCCCTCTTAAAAGGGGTTATATAATGGGTATCACTGGCCATACACCGAAAGGTTGTCAGTGAACTACCCTGCGTGTGGGGATATGGGCTGGGCTGCCTGCTACACATACATCTCGCAGAGCTCCCCCTTATCCCATTTACCCTGATGTTCCCCAGTTCCCTTGGCTGGGGGGCTGGGAGGGATACATGCCCAAGGCCTCAGCCAAGGTCTTCCTACATTTGGAAGTTTAATAAAGTTGTAGCCTAATTTAATTCCATAACATATTGTCAGAGTCTTTATTCGTTTCATGTGGTCCCTGGGGGCTGGGCCTGGTCACACAATTTATAATAAGAAAAAAAGACTTGCATGTTAAAACAATAATTTTAGTAGTTTGCCCTACATTAATTTTACCTAGATATTATGCTAGTGTAATGCATTCTGCAAGGGGGCAGCCCTTGAAAAGCATTCAGAAAGTTGCCAGGATCCTGACTGGAGCAAGTCAATTTGACCATATTCCATCTAATGACAGGTCATGGGAAAACACCTCTCTGATGCCAATACCAGATCATCCACTCTGAGGTCAATCTCATTAGAGGTGTTTACACATCACATTTAACAAGGATTGCAGGCTAAATCTAATCTTTCTGTCCTCCCCATGCAAGTTATTGCTATTATAAGGCAATGAGAATGGAAATAACCAGTGAACGAATTCACGGAATCTGAATAAAAGGATCTACCTCTTTTACATGAGAACAGAGACATTTAAGCATCGACAGTCCAAAACTCTGCTGTGTTCCTCTGATCAATTGCCATGAGAACACAAAATGGAACAACATGACCTATTGTCATCCTAATAATGAGTACAAGGAAAAAAGGAAATAATTCAAATGTGACCATGGAGCATTGCATTCATAATTTATAATTTCTCATTAAGCAAGCATGAGAAATCTCCAAGAAACAAAACCTAACAACAGCACCAGTTTCCAAAACATTTTAATGCATGGATAGATTGGCATGATTTATTTATTTTTAACTCAGCCTAATTATCTCAATTTAGACTTTGTAGTGATCAGAATGGCTATGAATGCAACATATAATGGGAAAAGGGTGTGTAAAGGGGCTTTTACTGGATCTGGCCGGATCTATGATCCCAAGCCAGATTGCAAAGATTTGGGCTGATCTGGGACTCGTCCAGAATAGGTTTGAGGCAGCCCTGGATTGCCACCTGAAGCCTTATTGCATTGTCAAAAGGGGGCGGAGAACAGTTTGGCAGTGAGGAGGAGGAGGAGGAGGAGCAGGGGATGCCCAAGTAGCCTGTATGTGTCTCATTTTCTCCCCTCAAAAAAACACATATTTATTCTAGGTTTAAATTCCTGATCAAATATATTACCGGGAGAGGATTAGAAGGAGAGGCAAGTTTCCTGCCTTCCCCTTCCAGCTGCATGATTCTGCAAGGTCCTCAGATTGGTTTGGAGGTCTGTGTACAGTTGAGTTGGCTGCGAATTATCCAGCGTTTGATCAGGGCCACTTTGTAGTGCCAGATTGCGGAGTCTGTGTACAGCTCCAGTGTGTAAGTAGCTTGATTTGACCTATCTATCTATTCTCTCAAATAGCTCAATGTGGCTCACAAAATATACAAGCATGTAAATGTCAGCCACACACGCAAAACAGGATGATATACAGCAATCCAGTTCCCTAAATATTGAGATCTGGGTTTCATTTCTTCCTTCTTGCTATCTCTCGCTCATATGCACACACCACCCTTAGTTAACCCTCCCTGCCTATCATGGGGGCTTGGAAAGTGTGAGTCACCTTCCTTGAACCTCTGGCTCTTGCAAAAGACCTCTGTTTAATAGTCACACACTGTCAAGCTCGGAGAGTCCTCCCCTCATGTTGGTAACTTCACAAATAAGAATTAACGAGCAGTTGATAGGTTTATAGTCCTTTTATGACAGCTTCATGTTGCAAGCACAAAATACACAGCTCTCCACAAGGAGGGTGGTTTCTTACTCTAAACCCTCCTTCTAACTTCCAAAGCAAGAAAAGCACAACGGGAAGTTCTTCCCTCCGCCTCCTCTGTTCTCTGATATATTCAGACCGCCAAGTCTGTGGAGTGGGGGGTAGTCCCCCACACTCTCAATTGACGTATCTGCTAGCTGTCCCCTCCCTTCTGGTTCCCTTGTCCTTATCTCATAGCTGGGTAACTCCTCTCCAAGCTGTTCAGCTTCTGTCTCTCTGTCTGACTCTCTCTCTGTTTCTGAAAAATGCTGGAGGCAGGCCTGCTGAATATTCCCCCTCCTCTTCTGAGAGAAGCTGATCTGCCTGCGACTGCATTCCCCAATCTTCAGATCCAGACCATTCCCTGACACACACTTTATTTGGAAGCCATCAAGCACCCATTATGATGTGAACTAGCCTTGCATCACAACTAGGGTTACCAGACGTCCCCGGTTCCCGGGGGCAGTCCCTGGATTTGCAAATCTGTCCCCGGACAAATTCCATCCTCAGAATGTCCCCAGATTTGCAAATCTGTCCCCGAAAAATGTGGCGGTGGCAGCCTCAGCAGCCTGGTAGCGTAGTTGGCTCTGGCTGGCTTCAGGAGCTGCGTGCTGCTCGCTGCCATGGCACCCGCCATTTTTCCTTGCTGGAAGTCCCCATAAGATGTGTTGCACACAAGACACATCATATGGGGACTTCCAGGAGGCAAACTGGCGGGCGCCACGGCAGCAAGCAGCAAGCAGCTCCTGAAGCCAGCCAGAGCCAACTGCGCTACCAGGCTGGCTCCCGGCTGCTGACTGCAGCTGCTGCTGCCCCTGCTAAAGGGGAACCGGGGACGTCTGGTGGTACAGATCTCCTGCCCCCTTCCCCCTTTGTTTTGACTGATCGGGGGAGGCTCGGGAGTTGCGGGTGGGTGGCCGTTGCCCAGTTTTTTTAAAACTCTGCACATTTATGTTTCACAGGACACGAAAGAAGGGCTTTGCACCTTTATACAATATGCATGTATGCTTGGGCCCAGGATCTCTTGCCTCACCATCCACTACTGATTCCCTGTTGCTACTTAGCTTAAAAAAAAGGGGGGGGTCCCCCGGATTCATTGAAAAAAATCTGGTAACCATAATCACAACCACATTCACAAATTGCTGCAAAATGTGGAGAAATTATTTTAAGACTAGGAGGAAAAGTGAAATGGGGAGAACTGAAATGGACAGAGCCTTCCATTCCTACCTCTGATGGCTACCAAAGATATAAATTGTCCCCTGCCTCTTCTGTGCCACGTGCTGGGAATGAGAATACTTGTCAGGGACTGGAAGGGCTCTGAAGAAGGGAAGGGACTCTGGAGAGGGGAGCAGTGATTTATAGGGTTTGGTGCCTCCCACAAGGCAAGCGTTGGGGCAGGAGGAGGAGGAAGAGTGTCTGAGATGGAGGAAGGCATGCAGGATGTGGTAGAAGAAGAGGCTTTTCTGGTGATAGACTCCTCACCTTCCCCTGCTCTGCTTTCTCCTGCAACCAGTAGGGGCCTGAAGTGGGAAGAGAAGAGGCTACCTCTATGAAGGAGAAGTGTCAAGTTGCAGGCAAACAGAGGAGGGAATATAAGCCAGCAGAGGGGTGGGTTCTCACTGTCGCTGCAATGGCTCCCCAGAGCACAGATCTGAGGGACAGCTGCTTAGTGGTAGAACCATGTGTGTTCATGTGCATCCAAAGCATTGCAGGAGTTGCTATCAATAAAGACTTAACTATCAGATGTGTGCCTTCCTGAACTGGGATGGGCCAGGACTGTGTCCTATTATATCTGTAATGGTTCTAGGGGTTGCTCGTGCGTAAGCCGGTGCTTATCTCCCCGGCTGGGTGCAAACACCTGGCTGGGTTGCCAAAGTGAACCTTTTCTGTCCGTACAACCACTCACCCGTGGCTGACTCAATCGCTGGCAGAATTCGTCAGTGGGCGTTTCTTAAACTTCTTCCAGCAAAGAAGCTCTTTGATGCCTAGTCTCCTCCTACTCTCTCTGCGCAAAAGCCTTCTGTGCAAGGAGGGCGTGGGCAACGGAGGACCCCTACTCTCCCCGCTGGTCCCAGGCAAGGAGTCATGGGACCGCCTCGCCGCTTCCCCCATCTGCCCCCCTTCTCCACTGGTGCTACGCTGATTCTCTTCCCCAGAAGATGGGCTGCTTCTCCCGATCCCTGGACGCTCTCTGGAATCCCTCTGGCTTTTGCTCTCTCCCTCCGGCACTGATGGCAGTTCCCTGACAATACCCCTTCTCAAAATCACCACAGTTCATTAATGTCAGGGACTGGACTGGGAATTGCCCCCTCCTCCCCCTCTGCTTCTTTCAGAGGAGGAGGGGGAGAGGGAAGAATCCCCCCCCTTCCCCAGTGGTTCCAAGAGAAGAGAGAGACCAGCCTGAATTATAGCAGAAAGCAGAGTTGCCAAGTTACGAGCTATTGGGAGAATGTAATAACAATATTTTTTTATTTGTACCCCGCCCATCTGGCTGGGTATCCCCAGACACTCTGGGCGGCTCCCAATCAGATATTAAAAACACAATACAGCATGAAACATTAAACATTTCCGTAAACAGGGCTGCCTTCAGATGTCTCTTAAAAATAGGACAGTTACTTATTTCCTTGACATCTGATGGGAGGGTGTTCCACAGGGCAGGCGCCACTACTGAGAAGGCCCTGTGCCTGGTTCCCTGCAGCCTCACTTCTCGCAGTGAGGGAACTGCCAGAAGGCCCTCAGCACTGGATCTTAGAGAAGATGGGGGGGTTGGAGAACTGCCAATAGAAACATCTTTAGAAAGCATAAAACCACCACCCTCCCCACGTACACGCAGGTCACTTAAAATTCAAGAGCAAAGGACTCAAAGACATTTGACTGCTGAGGCTTTCTGTAGAGCCACAGGCTGTTGCTGGGAAAGGAAGGTGAGGGGCTCAGAGCGAGCAATGTCACCATGGATTGAAGGGCTGGATTCTTTGCCTTGCTCTAGTATTACTGAATAAAACCATAATTACAAACTTTCTTGTTTCTGTTTTGATCCTTGCTACTTGATGCTCGAGAGGATCCCTCGAGCCTGACAATTAAGGATATATGTGCTATGCTCTTTATGTTGATCATAGTGCTGATTATTATACTTCATTCACTCCTTTTATTTCACTCTCAGAAATGTGGCAATGGTCACTTAGAAGGCTTTAACAAGGGATTGGACAAAGTTGTGGAGAGAAGTCCAGAAAAAGCCATTAGTCCGAGTAGCTAGCTGGAGTCCCCGTAATCAAAAGAACTAAAAAACAGGGAAAGCTGTGGTAGAAAATGGGACACTGAATTAGATGGACCATAAGTCTGATCCAATTAGGTGCTTCAGGCTCATTACAGAAACATTTACGAATGCTGAAGGTATCTCAAATAGGAACCTTTTTTCAATTTGCGTCTAATCATTTCCTTTCATGAGTGATTTTATAATATTTGCTTATTTGCTTCACTGCTCCAGTTCAAATTTATGTCATGCGGATCGCTGAAAATTGGTTGGATTTAGAGTTGCTTTTATTTTTTAAAAAAATTAAAAATCACAAGACAAATGTGTTCGTTCATTCCCTTTGACAAACATTGCATTTCATGGTCTTTTATGGAAGAGATCATTTGGAGAGAACATTTACAGCCCACATCCTCTTTTCGAATTGGTGTACGCATTCAGAAATTCTTGTCGCCACAACACAGCCCTTCTGCACATCCATCATTCCATCAGCCTAAGACTCTGCATGCAGTTCAAACCAACAACTTCCTTTATGAGGATTGCTGCTTGTTGTGGTGTCAGAAGGACTCAATCAACCCCAGATCAAGATCAATGAAGGAGAGGTATAACAAGAGGGGAAAGGCATATGTGTCATAAGAAAAACAGATCAATCACTTATAGGTAAAGGTAAAGGGACCACTGACCATTAGGTCCAGTCGTGACCGACTCTGGGGTTGCGGCACTCATCTCGCTTTATTGGCCGAGGGAGCCGGTGTACGGCTTCCGGGTCATGTGGCCAGCATGATTAAGCCACTTCTGGAGAACCAGAGCAGCGCACAGAAATGCTGTTTACCTTCCCGCCAGAGCGGTACCTTTTTATCTACTTGCACTTTGATGTACTTTCGAACTGCTAGGTTGGCAGGAGCAGGGACTGAGCAACGGGAGCTCACCCCGTTGCGGGGATTCGAACCGCCAACCTTTTGATCGGCAAGTCCTAGGCTTTGTGGTTTAACCCACAGCATCACCCGCATAGAAAGGGGCAAAACAGCATCGAAAGGGTTGTCTGTGGCTTCTGTCAGATGATGGCATACAATTTCCCTGCCCCTGACATCTGCATTTGGGCTGAGGAAGTCTATGTACCCTCTGTGAATATAGGGTTTTGCAGGAACTGGAACCTTGAATGATCAGAGTTCCAGTTCCCCATATATAATATTCCCATCTAGGGAACATCTATGCCTAATGGGTGCACATGGAGGGATGGGGTTGGGAAAATGGTATGATGTTGGGGTGGAGCTTACGTTGTGGCCCTGGAAACCCATTCAACTCAATATCCCCTTGACACAGTCAACAGCAACAGAGGTGTATTTATGGCAGTGCTGCCACTGGGCAGAAGAAATTTACTGCTCTTCGCTGATCCCGGTGAGGGGAAAGGCCAAAGGAAGGGGGAAGGAAGGTTTGCCATATTTTGCACAGCTGTCTCCTGATCCTTGTGCCTGAGACCCAAGATGAACAAACAGTAGGGTGTGTGGGTGGCACTGTGCTTATTAGGTGGCAATCATCCTGAAACTGCAGGAAGAGATGGCCTGGCATACCCCCCTACTCATGGTAGAGAAAAGGGAGCAGGCAGGGTGGCAGAATTAGAGGAGGAGAGAGAAAGGCATGTCACAGGGCCATTGCCTCATCCATGCTTCTCCCTTGGAGGAGGTCATGAGGCAGTATGGCAGTAAGCCATAAGCCATCAAAAACAAGCAAGTGACTAGCTGCATGGAGCAGAACCACTTCCAAGCCACCCGTGCAGTTTAGGGCTTGGGGCTGTTGTAATATGAGTGCTCAGCAGCTGCGAACTAGCAGCTCATTGTTTACATCATGTGATTCTTATGATGTGACTGAGCATGAGACAGGATGTTCTTCACTCTTCTCAGGGATGTGTTCTCAGTGTAACTTGAGACCTTCCTGTTGTTGTTGCAAAGGGGGAGTCAGTGAGATGTTCGGAGGTTTCTGAGAGAGCAGACATGCTTTGTGCAAGCTCGTGTACAGTGTACAGTCCGGGAAGAAAGTAGAATGATTGAGATTACTTTTCAGACTGTTTTCTTTCTCCTGCTGACATGCAAGGGGGAAGGGAGTGTGCATCTCTCAAGAGGGAGGTGTCGCTTATTTCAGATCTCCCTGGTCTGGCTGAAGACCAGCCAGGGGTAGATCACCGGCTACAGGCCCCAGTGCCTGGGAAGAGGAGTCAGCCTTTCCCGAGGGGGCCAGTTTCCAACAGGGGCACCGCCATCTCACTCACATGGGAAAAGGGCCCATGAGAATGGTGGCTGCCCTTGTCTCACTGTGAAGAGATGGGAAACAAAAGGGGAACATACCCAATGGCTTCATGTCACATGTTCAGGACGAGAGCTTGCCACTACCTCCTCAAATAATTCTCATTTTGAATCTTGTGGAACCAGGGAAAGGGACTGATTCGTGCGTTTGATCCTCCAAGTCATGTGAGCCTCAGCCCAAATCTCTTGGGTCTGAGC